ACTCAGTTAGTTTGGGATTTGTTTGATTTTCTCAATAAGTTTTCAGACATTAAGAAGTTTGTTGTTTAATAAAGTCATTCCTGTTTTACTCTCACTAGTTTTACCCTGTCTGATTCCCGTTCCTGTCTGATTCCCGTTCCTGTCTGACTCCCGTTCCTGTCTGATTCCCGTTCCTGTCTGACTCCCGTTCCTGTCTGACTCCCGTTCCTGTCTGACTCCCGTTCCTGTCTGATTCCCGTTCCTGTCTGACTCCCGTTCCTGTCTGACTCCCGTTCCTGTCTGACTCCCGTTCCTGTCTGACTCCCGTTCCTGTCTGACTCCCGTTCCTGTCTGATTCCCGTTCCTGTCTGATTCCCGTTCCTGTCTGATTCCCGTTCCTGTCTGACTCCCGTTCCTGTCTGACTCCCGTTCCTGTCTGACTCCCGTTCCTGTCTGACTCCCGTTCCTGTCTGATTCCCGTTCCTGTCTGACTCCCGTTCCTGTCTGACTCCCGTTCCTGTCTGATTCCCGTTCCTGTCTGATTCCCGTTCCTGTCTGACTCCCGTTCCTGTCTGACTCCCGTTCCTGTCTGACTCCCGTTCCTGTCTGACTCCCGTTCCTGTCTGATTCCCGTTCCTGTCTGATTCCCGTTCCTGTCTGATTCCCGTTCCTGTCTGACTCCCGTTCCTGTCTGGCTCCCGTTCCTGTCTGACTCCCGTTCCTGTCTGACTCCCGTTCCTGTCTGATTCCCGTTCCTGTCTGACTCCCGTTCCTGTCTGCTTCCCGTTCCTGTCTGACTCCCGTTCCTGTCTGACTCCCGTTCCTGTCTGACTCCCGTTCCTGTCTGATTCCCGTTCCTGTCTGACTCCCGTTCCTGTCTGATTCCCGTTCCTGTCTGATTCCCGTTCCTGTCTGACTCCCGTTCCTGTCTGACTCCCGTTCCTGTCTGACTCCCGTTCCTGTCTGATTCCCGTTCCTGTCTGATTCCCGTTCCTGTCTGACTCCCGTTCCTGTCTGATTCCCGTTCCTGTCTGACTCCCGTTCCTGTCTGACTCCCGTTCCTGTCTGATTCCCGTTCCTGTCTGATTCCCGTTCCTGTCTGATTCCCGTTCCTGTCTGACTCCCGTTCCTGTCTGATTCCCGTTCCTGTCTGATTACCGTTCCTGTCTGATTCCCGTTCCTGTCTGATTCCCGTTCCTGTCTGACTCCCGTTCCTGTCTGATTCCCGTTCCTGTCTGATTCCCGTTCCTGTCTGACTCCCGTTCCTGTCTGACTCCCGTTCCTGTCTGATTCCCTTTCCTGTCTGACTCCCGTTCCTGTCTGATTCCCGTTCCTGTCTGATTACCGTTCCTGTCTGATTCCCGTTCCTGTCTGACTCCCCTTCCTGTCTGATTCCCGTTCCTGTCTGACTCCCGTTCCTGTCTGACTCCCGTTCCTGTCTGATTCCCGTTCCTGTCTGACTCTCGTTCCTGTCTGATTCCCGTTCCTGTCTGATTCCCGTTCCTGTCTGACTCCCGTTCCTGTCCCGGTGTACTCCTTGGTTTTTTTGCTTCAGTCTTCCTGTTTACTTCGGTATCTGGGACATGTTCCCTGGTTTGCCTTATTTCCTTATTTAGGAGTCCGACTGAGAGGTGATGGGAAGCGTAACTCTTTTCTGAGACCTGGATTATTATTCATCAAACTAAGACCTGGATCTTTCAGTCCAACTTCCTTCCTCTTCCTCTGACAGAGACGTCTTTTTCAGCTCCCAGGATTGATAGGAATTAACTCATTCAAGCTCAAACAGTGACTAAAAAAATATCAACACTGATTAAATCAGGTATTGTAGAAAAGATTTGCTCACATGGAGGGGGCGGCCTTAAAATGCACACTGCCGCCAACCACTAGAGGGCACTTTGGTTCCTTTTGAGTTACACGTTTGAGTGTTCCTCAGTGCAAAGGAACCTCGCCTTGCTGTCTTGACCCCGCCCCAGGTGCCTAGAAGACGCATCATTAGGAACGGCCAAGGCCTGTTCCAATGTTGGTGTACTACTGAGGCGTCTGTTCCCCGTTTGTTAGCCGTCTAGCTAGCTGATTAAGGATACACGGGTGGTGTCTTGCAGCCTGGCCTTGGTCAAAGATTTCCCAGAATACAGTGCAGAATTTTCAAACAACACATTCTCACACCTGAAGCGTTGAAAATTGGTGACGGGTGACCAAGCATTTGTTTCCGACGTATTAGGACTCCCAACGGGTCGGAAAGGCGACACGCTGAGCCAGCACCCTCACCCACATCCTAACCTTATCCCAGGTTCTTGTTCTGAACTTCCCGTTAACCGAGTTTCAGAGGAACGTTACAACTAGAAGCAAAGTTTTGCATGCGCAAGAATGTTAAGGTTAGGATGGAGGTGAGGGGGAGGTTAAATAGCAAGAGAGTGACGGTCACAGTTTGGTGGAATCTGTTTTACCGAGGCAGTCGGAAAACGACGCTCTGGCACAGCGCATCCCGACGCGCTGTAAACTTGTGAATAGTTGGGAATTTCCCCTGTGTAGTGGATTTGCTGCTCTTAGACAAGGCTGCTTGTGAGTGACACACGCATTTGACCCTCATCACATGCTCTCGTACCACACCTCTAGTAGCTCACACTGAAGAATCAGCCCCCCCCACCCTCGCTCTCATGCATTCATGAGAATCAGCTGCTCTAAATCCGAGACCATGGTCGAGTCGGAAAAGGGTAGAATTCCTTCTCCAGGTCAGGATTGACATCCTGCTCCAAGTGGAGTTGAACTGCTGCGTCTGCAGTGATGCGGGCGTTGTACCGGTCTGTCGTGGTGAAGAGAGAGCTGAGTCAGAAGGCGAAGCTCTCGATTCACCATCTGATCTACGTTCCTGCCCTCACCTATGGTCAGGAGCTTTGGGTAGTGACCGAAAGAACGAGATCGCGGATACAAGCGGCTGAAATGAGTTTTCTCCGCAGAGTGGCTGGGCTCTCCCTTAGAGATAGGGTGAGAAGTTCGGTCATCCGGGAGGGGCATGGAGTAGACCTGCTGCACATCGAGAGGAGCCAGTTGAGGTGGCTCGGGCATCTGGTCAGGATGCCTCCTGGACGCCTCCCTGGTGAGGTTTTACGGGCACGTCCAACCGGGAGGAGACCTAAAGGAAGACCCAGGACACGGGGGAGGGACTCTGTCTCTCACCTGGCCAGGGAACGCCTTGGGATTCCCCCGGAGGAGCTGACCCAGGTGGCTGGGGAGAGGGAAGTCTGGGCCTCTCAGCTAAGGCTGCTGCCCCGGCGACCCGGCTCCGGATAAGTGGCAGAAAATGGATGAATGGAAGAATATTTATTATGTACTAGCTGTCTGTTTTATAAAAGGTGGTGTTTAGGTGGGTAAGCACTTCCTCAGCACAAATGAACGCACCGGGGCCGAATGGAGACCCATCTAAAATGGCAGCTGGCCACCATGGCAGCTTCAATCAGTGATGGTAACAGAAGAGACTCGACAGGCAGCGCCAGGCCACCGGGCACGTGTCTGTGGACAGGAGTGCACCAGTTCACACAAGAGAGCTCACTCTGTTGTGTTTCACAAAGACAACATAACAAAGATGGTTTGTAGCAGCGATGTCTCCGTTTACAAAAGCTAACGTGTTTTAACCTTTTTAACATGAATTAACTTGTTGTATTTATTAATTCATCCCATATTGAACTTAATGACTGTCTGCGGCCTAAAGACAGCACAGAGCGTTAGTCAGGGTGATCTCGGGGACATCGTCCTTCTGCTGCTGCTGGAGACAGATCAGACATGATTAGAGACATGAGTCAAGAGTCAGACAGCATCGATCATCCCTAATTCTCACCGTTTGTTCTACGAGTTGAAAAACAGACTCGTCCTTTTATTAAAGGAACGCTTGTCTATCACTGCATGAAGAATACTTTCTTAGATGTTGACGTTGTTTCATGAACTCTCTTCTTCTTGAAGAGGAGGCTTGAGTTCCTCAGACGATGTTGCGGTGGTGGTTCTTCTCGTGCTGCCCGTTACTGACCCAGTCCTAGTCATGTCCCCGTCACAAAACCAGTCAACAGCCAGCTAAACACGGAGAATACATCAGATAAAAACGGAGCCATAATAACTGAACAAAGGAAAGCCTACACAGGTGGACAGACACACACCTGTCTGGCTGACAGGTAAATGATCTCGCTTTTATTTCTGCTGCTCTGAACATCTAGTCTCAAAAACTCATTTTTATTCCCTTTCACTCCGGTGATTCAGAATAAACGACTCCTTGTTCACAGAACAGAAACAGAAGCAATTCTTTGGGTTGTTCGTTTAAAACCAGCTTTGGTGTGCGACTTCACGAACCTGCAGGTGAAATATGAAATGTTCCTGCTGAGGAAACAGCCTCTGCAGGCACTCTGTGATGTCCCGAGTGTTTCTCTTCCCCTCTCTGTTATTAGCTGATACGGTGGTGTGTGATGGAATAAATGCAGTGAAGGTCAAGGAACAAACACCGCAGCTGCTTCACACACTCGTATCCAGAATCAGACACCAGAACCCGGTGAAGTGCATTCACCTTACTTCCTCCTTCAGCTTATTTAAGCGTCTCTGTCAACATTTTCAGTCAGATATTTCACACAGTTGCATTTCTAGTCTTTCCTGTCCCGTGTCTATCCCCGGATTCTCTGTAAGATGAAATAAAGCGGTTGCGCTGCACGACTTTTGCTGCCTGCCACACACCAGAGCTGTGGTTTGAGCTGATCTCATCAACCAGATATGAACTCTTATAAACAGCGTTTGTTAGGAGGATCCAATCAGCCCTCCAGCAGCCGATCCTTCCTGCCCACTGGAAAATACCCATTTTCTGTCCATTTATTGCCTCGGGTTGTGCTCTCCTTTAATCCCACCTCTGCTGTCCATCTCCTGGTGTTGGCTCAACACTCGTCCACCAACGCTTAACCGACCACACAGATCCAGCTAATTGTCTGCAACAGAAAAGGGAACTGATGCGATATTGCTGTCACCCTGTGCTCTCTCTCTCTCTGCAGGCTGGAAGCAGATCCCATAAGGGTTTACCACCCAGATTCTCCGGCCGTGCTTAGACTCTCCTACCTGCTGGGCTCTGGTTTGTCCCTGCCCGTCTGGCTGCGCTGAGCCATGAAGATCCCTCTGTGGTGCCTGCTGGTTCTGATGGGATGTCTCTTCACCCCTGTACACGGTGACTGTCAGGGGGAATGTGTGGCCTGTGGTCTGCTCCTACAACAGCAGCAGCTGCAAGAAGCGTTCAATACCATAGTGAGTACATATGTGTGTGTGGTTGTTGGTCTGTGCATGTCACTGTCATTAGCATCTTCTGATTGCCTTGTCAGCACTGGAGGTAGGAGGCGGAGTCCCATGTGTTCTGCTAGCTGGTGGTAGAGGTACAAAGTCATGTCTTTTTCATGTTGATTCCAGTTGTGGACCACCATCCAGTCCCAACTACAAACAGGTGTGATGCAGAGCATGATACCGTGTTCTTTATCAAGCTTCTAGTGCTACCAGGAGTGTGCCAGTCACACGCTGGCACCACTGGTACACATTAGAGCGGGCAACACCACCACCAAGTGTTCCAGATGCAAATGTTTTAATGAGCAGTCCTTTAAAGCAACACGTTTACCGCTTCTCCCTCCTACTGTGTGAAAGCGGAATAACAACCCTGCCGCCTGCTGTAGCTAGCAGTAACAAGGTAACGCTAATATGCGCTAACTGATACTAGAGTAAACCCCAAAATAAAAGGATCCATACTGTTTGACAAAAACTTACAAGTCCAGTAGCAACAAAGCCAGGTCACCATCAGTCTGTGATTTTGTAGCCTCCTTTAGCTCCCCCAACATAGGCCACGCTGATGCTCACACTGGCTTTAGCTCTTTGCTTCACCTCCACAGACATTGCTCTTTGACTTTTACTTCCAGGCTCTGTCATGATGCCCAAAAAAGTAAAGTACGTCTTCCTTCTCTTGTGCTTTTTGTTGACGATTGGTGAACTGAAACTGCTAATGGCTAGTCGTTATTTTAGCTACTAGCACGGTAAACAGCTATTGTCTTAAAGATACAGTCCTCCCGCTAGTGTTCTTAGCTAAACCACAACACTACTGAGTGTGTAGCAGGGGACTACACACACACACACGCACACACACACACACACACACACACACACACACACACACACACACACACACACACACACACACACACACGCACACACACACACACACACACACACACACACACACACACACACACACACACACAGCTTGAAGTGGTTAAAAGCCTTTAGTGTTGCTTGAAAAGGGCAGCCTGATATTAACTGTGTCTAAAACAAAGATAACATTATTCTACCTTCATTTGTTTGAACAACAAAAGCTAAATTATGTAGAGGTTAAGAAAGGGTCTGCTGCAGCGGTGCTCACTAAGGGCCTCGCAGAGCCAGGTCCGGCCTGCAGGGCCCTCCTTTGTGGCCCCCAAACTGCCAGCATCCCCCCAGCAGTCTGACCGTCATGTTTGTGCTGGAGGGGTAGGAACGGCGCAGTTATGTGTCGGTGTTTGGTTATGTTCAGTGCCTAATCCGGCAAGGTCCGGCTCAAATTTAGCACCGGTTATGACGTCTTGGTGCCCCAGACTGGACCTCTAACTTCAAGGTTGTTTGGTTAAACGGCCCTCGGACCATTACATTTGCACTAACCCTGGTCTACTGCTTAAGAGATTATGCTTTTATTGAGACAGTGCAATAGAAACCCTGCGGCTGAGTTATGGGAAGCGATGATGATGATTGTGAAAGTGACTCAGAGGGTCATGCTTGTGAGCAGAACCAGCACCGCTCAGAAGAACCACCCAGCTAATCAGAGCTAATCAAGATTAAAGCACATCAAAGTTCAGACATGAAGCTTTTAAATCCAGATGAACATAACTGTCACCAGTCACTGTTAATGATGCAAACACAGAAGTGTGCACCTGTTGTGCTGCGGATGGCATTCAGAGGGGGATCTCTCTCTTTACTCCAGAACTTCAGCACAGCACATAGTCTCATCTCCGAGCAGGCCGAGGCACGACGCTGGGTAAAAATAGTCAGTGTGTGTCCGTGGATGGCTGCAGGACGGCTAATTTAGCTGATAATGATGCCGAGAGGGAGACAGCTGGGACCTTTTGGGGACTTGTAATAGAACTATGTAATGACTGCTCCTTGGTATCATCAGGCCAGGCTTACATTGTTGACTGACACTTTTTATCAGCTCCTCATTGCGGTAGCCGCCTTCCCACTGAGCCGCAGATGGACTCCTCGGAGAAATTGCATTGTTTCCCACTCCAGATGGAGAGGAGGTGTGTGGGGCTATAATGTCAGGACCCACTGATTTATTTCTTCACACACCTACACACAGGTGCAGGCATCCAAGAAATAATACATACTGTATACACACAAACACATCCTGCCTACTGCACATTCATTATATAATGACAGTTTCATTTGTATTTGGGCTAATTGTCTCCTAAATGTGTCTCTGACGGGCTTTCTCCTGTAGCTCTGCGGTTTCATACCGAAGGAAAACAAAGCCTCATTTTGTTCCACTACTTCACTAAATACTCAACCTAAAACCAAAGTCCATCCATCCATCCTCTTCCACTTATCCGGGGTCAGCTCATGGGGCAGCAGCCTAGACCGAGAGGCCCAGACTTCCCTCTGCCCGGCTCCTCCAGAATTCCAGAGCATTCCCTGGCCAGCCAGGTGGGTATCCTCCAGACATAACTCATCAGGGAGGCATCCTAACTCGATGCCTGAACCACCTCAGCATAGGTGAGGGTAGGAACGTAGATCGACCGGTAAATCGAGAGCTTCGCCTTCTGACTCAGCTCTCTCTTCACCACGACAGACCGGTACAACGCCCGCATCACTGCAGATGCAGCACCAATCCACCTGTCGATCTCACGCTCCAGTTTTCCCTCACTCGTGAACAAGACCCCGAGATACTTAAACTCCTCCACTTGGGGCAGGACCTCATCCCTGACCCGGAGAAGGCCTTTTTTGATTCACGTCCATGGTCTCAGATTTAGAGGAGCTGATTCTCATCCCAACTGCTTCACGCTCAGCTGTGAACCGCTCCAGTGAGATCATGTCCTGATGAAGCCAACAGGACAACATCATCTGCAAAACGCAGAGACCCGATCTTCAGGCCACCAGAACGGATCCCCTCAACACCTTGGTGGCACCTAGAAATCCTGTCCATAAGAGTTATGAACAGATTCGGTCACAAAGGGCAGCCTTGGTGAAGTCCAACAGCTCGACTCACAGACCAAGCTCTGACATCGGCCATACAGGGACCCACACCAGAGGGTCTGGTACCCCGTACTCCCCCACAGAGATAAACTCACAAGGCATTCATTTGTGTTACTGCACATGTGTTGAAAACAGTGAATTGTTGACTTTTCCCTTTTACTCACCAGTGTTAGTAAAAACTACATGTTTATAGGAAACAGGAAAATGAGAAGCCGCTGGTCCTGAAAGGGACATAAACGAGGATGTTGCAGCTGATTTGAACATAGTGATATTAACGATCCGAGTCTGAATATGTGATTCCACTTTGGTCATGGGAGGATTCTGCAGAACAGACATTTTGTTGTTGTTTTGTTTGAATAAAAAATAAATAAATTAATAAATTTACTTGTGTAATTTTTTTAAAGAGGCTGTGCATTCAGTCTGAAATATTTCAGGGTTTCTTTTTATTTCTACCTGGTTGATTCTTTAATTCTTTATGATCACTTTGCATCTGCAAATGCATGTTTTGACCATCTTGAAAATTATTTAGGCCACTTTTGGTTGTTTGTGTGTCTCTGCCTCTTCAATATCAAGCATACAAGATTTAAGGTATGAGATTTTTTTAAATGAATTTTATGTCGTGTTTCTTTAAATGACCTTCACCTACTAAATTAAATGCTTTCTCAATAAAAGGACTCATTTGAATTGTGAACTTTAGTTCTAAATACTAATCCAGTATGTAAGTATTCAAAGTACAATCCAGGAAAACCTCATCCTATCATTGTGAATGTCCTGTTCTTAATGACTGGATCATAATCCACCCATCAAACTGCCCTCTGACCATTACCACACATTTAGTGTAAAAACAAGGCTGATATCCACAGATCATGGGTGCGTGGCGGTCAGTGTTGTGGCCGAACGCGTCCGTTGAACGATCATTCACGAATTTGTTCATTTTTTTCGTGAACATGAACTGAACTAGTTTGTGTTTTGCCCAAGCCCCCGCAATGCGGCTCAGAAATTGGTCCCAACTCGGAAGTACCAACAATTGCAGTTCCACCCTCATCCACTAGGGGCTGGTGTCAGAAGCGAGCAAATCCTCATTGACTCCCATGTTAAAAATACCAATTTCACAGCAGAAATAAACATGTTTACAGCCTGGTACCAAAACATGTTTTTGGTTTAAATGATCTAGTCTACACTCATGACAACTCTGAGGGGGGTGAATGTTTTTCTCGCTCTTCTGTTTAAGTGTATTAAAGGCCTAAAATTCTGTATAATTAATGAGCATCAGACCCACGTGACCACAGAGCTAGCTCCATGGAAAGGCCTCAGTAGAGCCTCGGTCTGGCCTGGAAACTGCTCCGGGATTTTGAGTCTCTGTGTTTGTGTATTCTTTTTTGGATATTATTTGTGCAACTGTTGGACAAAATGACTTGCTGTGGCATTAATTGCACTAATAGAGCGTCCAAGGAGTCTCCACTTCATTTTTTTCGGTAAGTAAAATTATATTTATGTATTTTAGGTCACTGCCGAGCTGAGCTTGGATTTTAACATGTACTGTTTAACCATGAAATTTAAATGTAATAGGGTAAAACCCAGTGCATTTAACATAATGCTGCACTTTAGAAAATGGGTTGAAATATAACATGTCGGTGGAGCTGGGTTCACACTATCGGCTTGTGGAGCTCTCGGGAGACCGATGTTTTCCACCAGTTTCTCCCCTCCCCGCAGTTCCCCGCATCTCTGTCTGATCGTGGCTTCTGCCTGCTGCGCGGCTGCCGGCTTGTGGAGCTCTGGTGTTGTGCACAGTTAACTCTGGTTGTAGCTAGGTTGCTACCTCCGTTAGCTTAGCTCCCACCTCCGTGTTAGCTTCGGGTTAGCTTCAGGTTAGCTTGTATATATATATATATATATATCAACATATATATACATATATATATATATATATATATATACGTATATATGTATATATTATATATATATTATGTATATAATATATATATATA